GGGCGACTCGGCCCCCCCCTGAGCCTTTAAGGGGGGACAGCCGGCGCATCCCTGCAGGGACAGCCTGGGGGGACAGCCAGGGCAACCCCACAGGGACAGCCTGGGGGGACAGCCAGGGCAACCCCACAGGGACAGCCTGGGGGGACAGCCAGCGCAGGGCTCAGCTCCGTGCAGGGAGCGTGTTTTTGCAGGGCACGCAGCTTGCCAGCGCACCTTACTGGGGGAGGCATCCCCTCACCCCCCCAAGCCACACGTGGCACTGCTGCTGCCAGTCCCCACGGATGCTCCGTGCCCGTTGCCTTTCGCCAGCCAGCCTCGAGCTCCCAGGACCAGTCTGCTCCCCCTTCTCCCAGTGCCCACGGCTTGGACCCTCACTGCCAGAGCGCAGCCGTCGTTGGGCTGCCAAACACTTGGCTTTGCCCAGTCCCACTAATTACAACCCAATTAGCACTCCTGCAGCACGTGGCCTGAGCCGATCCCGCAGGGCTTTCTCCCAGTGTGGCCCCAGCCCCCCGCCCCGGGGCTGGCAGCCAGCACTGTGCAGAGGCAGAACCGACCCCGACAGCACCCCAGGGCGGCTGTAAAACAGGTCAGACCCCCTGCCGGCACCAGGGGACGAGGAAACGAGCTTGCAAAACACATCTCAGAGCCTCTGCCCACCTCCTCTGCGTCCCAGCATAGTGTACGCAGGGTTTTATTACGGCCCAAATCCCCGTGCCCCGAGATGTTCGTGGAAGATGCACGTTGGGGAGCGAGGTTCTAAGGTGGCACTCGCAGCCAGCCAGAAATGCGCAGGGTACAAAGTGGTGGTGTTTAATTACTCAATATACAACAGCATGTTACGCAGCCATACGCCCCCTCCCCGAGAGAAAGAGAACTATAAAGTTTATCGGAGGATAAAAAGGAGGATCCTTCCTGTCCTGCAGTGGCAGGGCTGCCTCCCAGCCAAGCTCAGCCCCCACCACCGGCTCTGGGCGAGGAGCGGGGACACTTGGGGACATGCCACCCCAGCAGGTCCGGGCAAGCTCTCGCAGACGGCACATGCAGGTGGGGAGGATGGCCAGCACGCAGCGCTGCCGGGGCGAAGGCAGGACACCACGAAGTGGAGCTGCGCGAAGAGTCCTTGAGGTTCAAGTCCTACCAGATAAACACACAGAGACGGGGCCACTCGGGGGAGAAAGGAAAAACACCCCCCCCCAAATAAAACAAAGAAAACCAAACAAAACAGCAGTTGGAAGAGACGTCCCCGGCTCATCCGGTCCCTGTGCCACCGGCCCAGCTAGCGCTTGGAGAGCTCGTGCGATAGCCAGTCCAGCCCGTCGTAGAGCCCCGTGCCCTGGGTCGCACACGTTGCCTGCACATACCACTGCAAAACAGAGGGAGACGGAGAAAAGGGCTTTGGGCTCTGCAGATCTCCAGCCCGGTGCTCCCCAGGAGCAGCCCCACAGGTCCCTCCCGCAGGGACGGGGACGGCACCCCGGCCACTCACGGTCCTGCTGCGCAGCGTCTGCAGCCCCAGCTTGTCGGTCAACTCGCTCACCGCCATGGCATTGGGCATGTCCTGCTTGTTGGCAAACACCAGCAAGACGGCGTCCCGCAGCTCGTCCTCCTGCAGCTACGGAGAGAGCGGGGACAGCTGAGCTGGGCGCTGCTGGAAGGTGGCTCTCGGTGAGCCCTTGGTGAGCCTCCGCAGCACCGGCACCCCAGCAAGCAAGACCTGACTTGGACAGACCCAAAGAGCCGGGAGGGCTCTCCAGCTCCTCCACTCACCTCCTGTGTCTTGGCTGCCCTCCTGCCCCCATTGTTGCCCAGAGGTCTACCGGGACGCTCGTCCAGGAGCACCCGTGCCCTTCTTCTCCGAGGTGCCCACATTGGAGCATGGGGCTGCAGGCGAAGGGGGACACAGCGACCGCCGTGGGGGCAGCGCCAAGAGAGCGGGCACGATGCTCCCCAAACAACAGCAAGCAGGCAGCGGGCATCTGCCTGTCCCTTCTGCCCACTCTCAGGCTGCAACACGCTTTGCTCTGCGCCAGCTTCCCTCCCCAAGGATGCTCTGCCCCCCACAGGCAGCTGAGCCAAGGAGTAAATGACCCCCACTTCGCAGGCTGGCTTTCGGACGTTGTCTCTGGACGCTGCCTCCCCTCCCCGTGTATCCTGGGTGCTCAGCTAGCAAAGCCCTGCCTAACTAAAGCCTAGAACCACGTTTTCTTGACCATTTTTCCCCCTTGCAAGTGCTCCTGATCCCTGCAGGTCCAGCCTCTGCCTGGCAAACGAGTCGCTGTCGAATCCCCAAGCCCGCCTCCGGACAGATGCCCCTGGCTCTGTGTCGCAGGCAGAGCAGAGCCAGGTCTCATCTCGCACCCCCCCAGGCGTTGCTGCAGAGCTGGGCGAGCGGGAGGAGGACTGGGGGACACCCACGTCCCTGCCAGACTGAATCCCCCCCATCACTCACCATCTTCTGCAGCTCATCGGCAGACTCCTGCACTCGCTCTCGGTCGTTGCTGTCCACCACGAAGATGAGACCCTGCGGGAGAAACCAGGCTGCAGTGGGCAGCTTGCACAGAGAAGAGGGGGACATCCAAGGCGGGCTGCAGGCACCCCCTGGCCAAGGGGGAAAGTGGCCCCGCTGCCCACCTGGCCCCCCCCCGTGCACTCCCTGCAGAGCCAGAGCACCCCGGGGAGGGTGCTGCCCCCTCGCCTCTCGCCTG